TGGTGAGGGGGAAGAAAGGGGGGGGGGGGGGGCGGACTTCTAGAATAGACAGATAGAAGGGACACAGAAGGGACTAGTGCACTGCAGAGCAAAGCAATGAACGGAAGAGAATTGGACAGCAAGGTAGGAGAGATCATAGAACTAATGTAGTTAATAAGCACACTGGGATGTAGAAAGTTTCCCACCACCAAGGAAATCAGGGTATTATTCTGAATGCCACAACACGTCTAATCGCTATTAGTGTCTATAGCAGAAATGTAGCACAGGATCTACAGGAGTCACACAAAGAAGGTTTAGCAAGGAAAGCTCTAGACAGAAAGTTAGTTCTCTAATCCTTATAGAAAATATGCCGGAGAAACTTCCCGAGGCGTTTATTAAAGAGACGCAGGCTGAAAACCAAAGTCTTTTCTGAGTCACAGTACTGAATGGCAATTTTGTGATTTAGAATGTTACAAGAAAAAGGGGGCGAGGGCTCAAAAAACCAAATCAGCGCTTAAGAGAAGATGAAAGAAGATATTGTAATGTTTTCAGCATACGATAGTTTAATAAAAGCCCCTTCTGTATGCGAGGTACAAATACAGAAGAATATACATCAGAAAACATCTGAATTAAGAAAACAAAAAGTAAACATTCTTTTACAAAACACAATCGTTGCTATTTTCACTTATTAACCCCTTCATGACTGAGGCCCTTTTTTCCATTTTTGCAAACTTTACCCTTATCTTTGACAGCAAAGTCACCTTTAGAAATGTTTAGTGATGACAATCTACAGACACATATACTTCTAGATAATTGCCGGCTTTTCATTCTTTGCATAACTTATTTCTCTTTTCCTTCTCATTCTTCTGACAGTGGCCATTTTTACTAAGGGCAGATTACTAGATCTCCCTTTACTTCCTGGATTTCTGGCACATGTTACTAGGACATGTGACCATGCACACCATCTCAGGGGAGGAAAATGCCTTTCCTTGAGATCTCTGATGAGATTACAGGTGAGAGTTCACAGCAATGCTCTGCTGACGTCACCTTCCCAGGATGCAACATTTGGGCCCATCACGGATGCCCAAGAGGACCAGGAAGTGGAAAATCAGTAAATTTTAAAGAAAAATATGTTTAATGATTGATTGTAAGATGATTTCATATTAGCATGCAGAGCTGCACGCTGATGTGACTTTTATGGAAAGGGGATAAAGTTTCACAAATCTGTTAGTGGCCCCGTCACTAACAGATTTGTAACTTGGCTGCTAATTTCCTGTCCAATGTAAAAGGTTTCACGAGGCAAAAGGTTTGATTTGACAATTTCCATTCAGGTCTAGTGGCTGGGTGAGACCACCGATTACAAAACAAGGAAAAGGGAGGATTTCTACTATCTAGAAATTGGAAACAGAGGTCTAAAAGACAAACAGGATTTTTTCCAAGTAAGTGAAAAAATGCCTAAAGCTGAACTCCAGGCAGATATAAAAGCACACAAATAATGCAGCTCTGTATCCATTAATTATACAGTTTTTTTATGATGATGTCATCCTCTTGCAATCAGCAACACTCACCAATCAGGTGTGCTGCGTGCAACGGTGCGGACATGATACAAGTTAATAAGAGGAGAGAGTAGAGATGACCCAATCAGTCTAGTGTTGCTCTTTTACTATCTAGTCATGCAGGCTGGGGGTGAGGGCCACCAATTAATTACTTATACAAATCGGTAGCTAAGAGTCAAGCTGGCCACACTCTGTTCTATTTTTTTCCTTTCAGCCTGCCGGTTTAACGAAAAAAAAATAAAAAATAGAACAGACTCCTCCATCCAATGCTCATCCAATGCTCCATGAGCATTGGTCGAGGAATCTCTTGCCATTGCCTATGTATTCTGACAGTGGCTGCCACCCGCGGTCAGAATACCCGAACAGAGCCAGCAGTTTGTTCAAACATTTTCCAACCAGCTCTTTCAATCAGCTGATTGAGCGATGCCAGCCAAAAGGGTGCTGACAGAGGCACCCAATGAGCGAATTTCAGCCAGTTCCTGAAAAGGCAGCCGAAATTTGCAGAATGTTTGGCCAGCTTAAGTGGTGCCATCTACCTGCCTATGCTGTGCAAGGGGCTGTGTAAATCTCAGGACTGGATGGGCTGAAATACAAAGTCTTTGGCCGGTAAAACAGCTTCCATTAATTAATTTCGTGTGTGTATTTAGTGGTTTGCCTGGAATCCAGCTTTAAATATCATATCGGAAACAGGTTTTGGAAGGAATATAAACTGGATGCTCCCATTACGAAAACAAATAACCCAAAATGATCCTCTCCAGCTTATGGGTTGGATCTAGTACTGTATGTTGTTTTATGCTTTAAGGTGCATTGTGTTAGAAACCCCCATTCATTTTGAAATGATTTGGTAATTTTTATTGGTAACAGCCCAAAAAGTCCTGCTCCATTTTTTAAAACAATATGCACCGTAATACACAGAGCATTCACATGTGTGCACTGTGGATCACTATAGAAGATGGAGCACAATGTAGAACTACACAAGGCTCCAATTAAATTTAAATGCACCAAAGCGCACACATACAGTGCACTGCTGCAAGCGTTAACACGCACACAGTGCAGTGAAGGAGCCTTCAGGGCATTTTACCAAAAGAAGAGAAAACATGAATTGCTAAAAGGAAAACCATCCTAACAGAACAGGAAGTGTGAGACAAAGAAAGTCGAGAGAGAGAGAAGGAGAACACAAAATAGGAAAGTCAGTGAACCAACTTGAGAGAACCTCCGGTGAATAGTAACTACTCTACTGAAAACAGCAAATGATGCCAAGACAATCAACGTTCAAAATGACTGCAGGAGGTCGGTGATTAGAGGCCAGGTTAGTAAACAGAAGACAATCTTGTGTAGTTTAATGTAGGAAAGTATCAGTCCACCTAAAAGCGACATCCCAGTTATAGATGTACTATGGTGGGCAATGTCAGTGGTAAGATCCCACTGCTATAGTTTCTGGTTTTAGTTCTAGACAAACTGGAGCTTTAAATGTTCCTGATCCCTCCTATGGCACTATTCTAAACTCCCAGTTATCTGGCACCCATGGGGATCAGTAGATGTCAGACAACTGTAGTTTCTGGTTGCTCGAGTTGTTACTATTAACTCTCAAGCAAAACCCACTCACTGAGCAGAGGAGCGGGCCTGAGGGAGAAAGTTCTCAGTTGTTTACATTCAGCTGCCAACCACAAAATCTAGCCAACTTAGTTGCCAATGACATATTTTAGTGTGCACATGTCTATCAAGCAACCTGCAAAACAAAAATTGAGATTGGGGAAATCAGGGGCAGAGCTCTCATGACCAGGGCTTCAGAGATTTACAGGAAGCCCATCAGGCAGCTTTTGAAATGATGGGCCTAAATCAAACTGGGTAGACATGTAACACTGCAAACATTTAGTGTGAGTGTATCTAGGAATTAAGATTGACTGGGTTACCCCCCATCTGACTGACACTGTAAATAGAAATGAGGGATAAGATGAAGCAAGGAAGAGGACTGCTTAGTGATATTATGAGGCAGTAGAGAAATATAGACAAGTAAGAAGACCTGATCACCAGTTAACACTTTTACATCCGTCCCTTATGAAACTGAAACCGCAGATATACTGGACCCACACCAGAAGATGTGAACCCAGCTGTAAAGTTGCAGTCCTGTGTTGGTATACCATTTTCAGAGACCCCCAGCTGTCAGGTCATACACCTAAGGCCCCCATTACACTGTGTGATCACATCTACAATAGGACAAACACCAAGTTGGAAAAACATCTCTAGAGGGAAATAAACTACCCAGTGTTAGACATGAGGATAGCCGGTTTGTGATGAATCATAAGGTAAGACGTTCACTTGCTATTCACATGACAGGTACAGATCAGGAAGAAGGGTTACTTCACAAGAGAAGAGCACTGTACAATTTAGAGCCAGAGAAGTAGGAGCCGGAAGAAGCCAAAGCAGAGAGCAGTTTAGGAAGATACAGTAGCAGAGAATCTAGCAGCACCCAGAGGAAGTAGTAGGTGGTGACATTCAGATTACACTGCAGGTAACACTCAGTGCTGGTGATAGCTAGTATTCCCTTTTAGGACGATACTGACAAGAACTGAATAAAACTCCCCCCCCCCCCCCCTTTTTCCACGAAATTTTTTTGGGA